TGGGGGCGGGGCTCGGGGCTGTCCCGCGCTGAGGGGGAGCCCGGCCTGGGGCTGCGCTCCTGGAGCCGCTGTTTCAGACCTGTGAGGCTCCCTCGCTCGCAGCTTAGTGTCCATCGGAAAGGGCAGGATGTCTCACCGTTTTTCAAGATTAGACCTCCTCCGCTGTGGCCTCTGTTATGTAAAAAGGCTGCTGGACCCAAGCGGCAGTGTTCCTGTGCCCGAGGGCGGGAAACGGGGAGTGTAGGCGTTCCTTCGTGAGGCAAACGCGACCTTTCTTCCCAGCCCCCTCCAGCTGTGCAGGTTATTGTCAGAACTGGTGCAGGTTATTGTCAGAACTGGCGCAGCTGAAGACAAATTTGGAAAGCGCTTATAAAATATGTTGAAGGCAAGACACGGTTGTTTTGTTTTTTCTGTGTTGCAATAGGACTTACAGGTCTGAGAGCTGTTTCTTCCCTCAGACTACAGCAGGATGTCGTGATCTCATTTCATATTTTCCGTATTTTCTCTCTTTTTTCCTTTCCACCTCCTAAGACTCACAACACTGCAACAGATGATGTTTGAAAGATGATATGTGTGTATACTCCTACCAAGTAATAAATGAGATTAGTTTAGATTACAAGGTAAATAGAGTGCAAACATTTATCTTTAAGAAATCAATAGAGGAAGAACGTAGGCTGGAAGTATTTTGTATTAGGCTAGGATGGGTGGGCGGTCTGTCTCTCCTCCTTTATTTTCTTCCTTCTACCAGAGAAGCAGGGTAGGATTTTGTAAGAAAAGCATCATCTTAGCTGTAGCCAAGACTCACGAAATTCTAAATCCATGTCGAAACAATTAAGTGACATAATTTTTAAGATTTCACTAGAAGCTGTCCCTTCTAACCCCACTGGCTGAGAACTTTTGGAAATTTAAGGAATCCTTCCTCAGTTTTCCTGCATTTGAATGATGTTGAGAGAACAGTACACTTCTGTGAGTTATGTAAGAATTTGGGCCTAAAGCATGAGCTTTGATAATTTAAGTATTCATGCTCATTGCTGTCTGGTCTTGCATAATGCTGCAAACTTGTATGCAGTTTTTTGTAGTAATCTATCAGATAATAGGTGGTGATAGTACCAGTTTTCGAAGTAGTGCAGTGTATGAGAAAGTTATGGTTTCTTTAACTTAAGCAGGTTAATCCCAGAGACATGGAAAATTTTCCTCTCTTTGTATGTGAAGTCTTTTTTTCTTACTTTTTTAGGAACAAGAAGTGCTGCAGTGACTGTAGGGTAACCTGTCTTGGAAATAAAAACTGTTTTAAGTTGTCGAGGTTCAGCACAACATGTGGATCTGTCCAGATGCAAATACAAATTTATATCTCTTTTGCTTTATTATGGTTTATTTTAGGAAATGCTGGACTCTTAAGTACAATCACTTTTGTAGCAGTGTTGCTGTACAATTTTGTCAGATTTAATCACTTTGAAAATGCTTTTTGAAGAAGCAATATGGAACTGTGTGGAGAAATCTCGTATAGTTTTAGAAATAGTGTTGGAAGTGTTGATTGCAAGGAAAGTAATTTTGTTTCAGTGTTCGTGATTGACACTGAGGCAATATTCAAAAAGTAACTGTAACATATGTAACACATGAGTTGCTGTTTGAAGTGTCCTTCCTCCAGAAGAAGCATAAATGATGGTGATTAGTGATTTATTAAAGGCATAGGCAGCTCTTATGTTAATAATAAGGCAAATAAATTGCCAGGCCAAATTCTAAATGTCATTGTATTTTGCCTCCCTAAAACCGGGAGGCAGGTTTGTGCTGTTTCTAAAACGACTCTTTTTCATAAAAACATTTAATTTGTTTTTTTCTTTTCCTGAGGCCCAGGACAGAAAAGAAAGCTGGATACTTAATTTCTGTCACTTTGTAATGAAAATGAAACAACTCATTCTTCCTTTTACTTTTGAAAATTTCACCTTTCTAAGTTTTCGGGACTCTAGATTTATAGCAGCTTTATTTTGTCACTTGTCTTCAAGTCATGTCATGTTGCCAGTAAAAACCAGCTTTCACTTACAGCCCTGCTATGTTTGTTTGCTTACTAAAATATTTCTGTGTTTTTGCTGCAGCCAGTAATGGATTGCTACTGGCAAGGGGGAGGGGGTGGTGTTTGTTTATTTGAGGGACAAGCACGCGTGTTTTGCCTTTGTATTTTAAATGAAGGTATTTCTTTCACACTGAAAGTAACAGGTAGATATCCATAGCAAAATTTCCTTAGCAAATGGCAAATCGTGAGAAACAGTAATGTTTGCCTGTGCCTATTACTGGGCTAGTGTTTTGAAGCTTGATTTTGATGGATCATGAACACTACGGAGTTGTGCTGGTAAAATACTTGTTTTGCTATTGACCTGTTTGAAATTTGCAAAAAAATCTGTCATTTTTGATTTGTGAAGACTAAGGCAATCACATTCTAGAAAGATTTATAATGATAGCATCTTATTCTTGCTACGATCATGAACCAAATTTAGATTGATTGTCTACAGGTAAAGGTATCTGTTTCACTTTAATCTCAGTTGCCGTAGTGATATTGATAGGGTGACATACAATAATGACTGCCATAGTGAAACTAGACCTGAGTGAAGTCAATGACTGCAGATAGCCCTAATTTAACAACGTACAAAAAAGTTTTGAGGAATTTGTGTGAATAACACAAAAAGAGCTGAAAACACTGCGGAGCTGGATTCCGGTTGATACGCATGTCATTAGAATTGTGCCATTGGTTACAATGGCTGCACACCATGGACTTCAACGACATGAAATACTGTTCTCCATTTCTGTGACTGACAGCATTGAAACTGCAACCTTCTTGCTAACCTACAAGTGTAGATCGGTTCAAGCATTTCAACAGTCATGACAAGGAAATATTGTTCCGCACAGAGGAAAGACGTGTTCTGGTTGTTATAAACAGTGGAAGCTGGAAATAATACTTTATTGTAAATTTTGGTGGTGAAATTTTAGTGATTAAAAGCAAGATCAACTTGTTGGAAACTAAACTTCCATTAATCCTTTTCATTCCTCTTGGACAAAGCCATAAGGAGACTTGTTTATGATAAAAGACTTTACTGGTAGAAGAAAGGCCTATCTTTAGCAGCAGTTTTGGTTATGATGGAATACCTGTGGATTATGCTGTGTCACTTCTGTCCTCTGATGCAGGTCTTTAGTAACATCACTGTCAATTTCCTAATGCTTTCCTAGATTTTTTGATTCACTAAGGATTTATATCATCTGAAGAGTGTAACAGTAGGGGGAAAAAAGACTGTCCACAGGGCTTCATATCTCTCTCTTCATGCTATTTCAGCCTTACTTGACTGTATGTCCAACATCTAGTTTTCTGCACTGTAGGAGAAGAAGGAAACGGTAGTTGTTAACTATCTTCGTATATTATGCTGAAACAAGTGTAGTACTTTCTCACATTAATACTTTCCTAATCTCACTTTGTCATGTAGCTAAGCTTTCTGTCGCCCCAAGAAAAAAATGTGTTCGGATTTATGAGAATCGTTCATAGGAGAGTCTCTATCCTAGGAAGTAATTTCTCTTATGACAGTGATTGAAAGAAGACTAAGAGAATGGTAGGCAACACTGAAATGACTTCATAACCTCCAGCACCTCTGTTTCAAAAAGTCCCATTCAAAATGTGGAAGATGGCATTACTCATCTACCAGTTGATGCCTTAAGCTTTGGACTGTCTTAAAATGAACAAACAGACAATTAAAAAAATACAAAAAAACCCCCACCACAGGTCCTCCTCCCACATGCACTTAGAAATATGGCCTTAGCCCAAAGATTGCTGAAAACAACAGAACTAGAACTTTAAAAAGCTAATTCGACATACATTAAATACAACTGGAGCTATTGCATAACAAAGAAGCCGTATTTTGTACACAGATTAAAACTGGCATAAGGTTAAACTTGAAAGTTTAGGTTGTCCTCTGAGCAATACAGTTGAGATAAGAGCGTTTACAGTAGTGCGTGAGTCTGTCATTTCAGTGAAACTCTCATTACTTTTTCCTTCATTTTATATGATGTACTGTAGTTCATTCTGGTCTTGTAGTTTAAGTTACAGATGGAGGAGAATTTCATTTGAATTTTGTTATCCCTAGATAAGCCATGTCTGTTCCAGCTGATGAAACTGTGGAGGACCTGCCTGTGAGAGATGTAGGTCTAACTCTAGCTGGAATTGGAGGATTACAAGGTTTGTACCAGCTGCTATTTATTACAGTTACAGACTTTGATCAGTGGCTTCTTTAGTTTCTGTCTAAAAATGTTTCTGACATTCCTGCTCACAAAATTAAGTTCAAATACCATCCAAAATCTGGGTTAAATTCTTGAGGATACTATGACCCATTCTGTGTTCCTGTTGCTGGTTATAAGAGGGGAGTTGTTTATGCTTGCAGAAGAAAAGAGGACTTTTTTGCTGAATTGAGGACAAGGCCAGACCCATTTAACAAAATGGGAGGCAAAAGTACTATGCAATTCTGGTATGTTACTCAAGTGCTGCTACTGGAATGGAACTGCTGGGCTTAGTCTTGTATCTGCATAAATTTACAGAGCTATGAGTTAATATTTTCAAGCTTCAAGAGAGTATGTTAACTTGAAAACAGATTAGAAAGCATCTTTGTGGTAACGATCGTCTTAGTTTAGCAAGTAACAACGTACTGTCAAACATACTACTTAAGAAATGTTTCTTTTGTGTTGTCTAGAAGGTAATCAGTTTGCTGTATCTTTTAACTTACTCTTTCTTTTTTTTCTTTAATCCGTAAGAGGGAGGAAAAAAGTGATTAATATGCCAATAAATATGAAAAAAATAATCAACAGAGTCGTACAAGTGTAAAATATCAAATTATTTGAAAACTTTCATTTTATTTTTTTTCAGTATTTCAAAATTAGACTTTGGATTACATGTTGTTGAATGTATTTAAAGTTGTTTTGATTTGGTAGAATTCTCAACTACACAGAATGTAAAAGCTCGACAAGCTGTATCAAGAATCAGTCGAAAGGAACTGGAAGACAGATTTCTTCGTTTACGTGATGAGAACATCTTACTCAAACAGCATGCAAATAAGCAAGAGGAAAAAATGAAAAGGTATTTTTTTAATGTTTTTATTTTAGCTCACAATAACTTTTTTGCCCTTTAAAGCATTATCAACAAATTAAATATCATGCTTATTTCTCACAGAGCACTTTTTAAAGCAGTAGCAAAAATCACTCATTGAAATTCATTTTTGTATTGATTTTTGGATTATCTCTGTGGTATGTGGGTATCTTTTGCAGTGGATGGTATTAGATCCACGTAGAGAGGTATGCTGCTGTCCACCACTTTGGAGTTGGTACCTTGTGTTCATAGCTATTGAGTACAAATACAACAGGTATTCTGGGAACTGAAAAAGAGGCTATAGAATCTCAATTACTCATCAGGAATTTCGTCGCAGAATCACAATGGCCTATACAGAGAGGTTCTGCCACTTACTTTGTTCTTCTCAAGTGGACTAGCATCTAGCCTTCTATTGTCTAGTTAACCCTAAAATATCTTTATAATTGTGATCATCTCTCCTTTGTTCAGGGTAATACATAACTTCATAGAGGAAGTCCCAAGTGGCATGGGGAGCACAGTACCTACCATACCCAAACAACCACAAGCAACTTTAGGCTTTTTATTAAACTTAGTGCTGTGCTGACAAACCGAGCTTGACTCAGCAGAACTGTTCATGGTATTACTATATTCCAGGATAGCTAATTAATCCAAAAGCACTGTGACTCTGTGTTCACATTGTGCTGTACTTAAGCTAATAAAATCTTGCTGCATCTAAGTTAGCTTCTGGTCGGAAGCTAACCGACTCATGAAAGGGCATCTGAAGATACTGCCTTTGTAGATGGCAGTATTCCATACTTTCTTAAGTCCAAAACATTCTTTCCTTTTGACTCAGTATTCAGTGAGTCAGGATCAAATTGACCAGCATGACATAACTTCCATCTTTTCTGTCAGGCTACTGTCAAATCCAAGATGGTAGAACAAATTAATTGTTTGCTTGTTCCAAATGCCATTTCCTGTGTTCAATGACTTATCAAATGCACTCATCATCCACTTAGATAAAATTACACAGAATATCCAAATTGGAATACCTGAATTAATATTTTAAGGCACAGAAAATATAAAATACAGTGTTTGTCTGCATTGCCAGAGAAAAATCTTAACTCCTCAAGCTAAATTTCTTTCCCAGCATCCCCCATGCCAAAACCCTTGTAACTAAAAGTTTGGAATGGATTTACGGTAGAAATACATCCAAAAAAAAAAATAAAGAAACAAAAAACCTGCTTATAGGCAAGTAACATTCTATGACATCCTAAAGTTATTACAGGGTTTTTTTTGTTTCACCTTTGTTCTTTTAAGTAGAAGCTTCTGTCCACAAGTATACAAAAGTAAAACAAGCCCCTTTAAACAAATGAAGTGTGTCCTTGTTTTCAGTTTTCTTTCTGGGCCTGCAAAAATAGATTCCCTGTAAACTAGACACAGGTCTTGAAGATGTGCGACCAATTTTGTAAAGTCTTGAACTTGTCTTTCTCATCAAAGCCACCTTTTCTTTCTTTATATGCCAAGTTTTTTCCATTCACTGCTGGGTATGTTTTCTGTTCTCGTATATTACATCACCCCCATGTGCCCTCTCTGCCTTTTGTTCTACTTTACCAGTGTTTATCAAAACTAAAGGAAATCAAAGGTACTACCCTTGAGATGCCAAAAGCAAAATTTGTATCCTCTTAAAGACAGATGAGAACCGTACCCTCTGTATCTAATTATATTCTTCAGCTAACGGTTCCTTCTCTGAAGCACGTTGGTAATATTTACAAAGTATAATATTGAGTATGGTAATGAGAACTGTTGTCTCTTTTTCCAGCGTACCTTCTTAAATATGTCTACCTATATATTTTAGCCACTTTAGAACTAAAATATATATTCAAATACTAAAATACTAGAAATGATATATCATTGGAATGTTACATATTATTAGCGTTCTTTCAATAGTTGAATGTTTTGTGGAATTGTAGCTTTTACAGTTTGCCCCACCACATCCCAAATGTGTAACTTTACTTAACAGCATACAGAGGTTCCTGTATAAGGTCATGCATTAAAAATTACATTTAAGCAGCATATGGAGTAAATATGTGTCCTCCATTTACTAACCTTAAATGATAAGCCTTAGGAAACTGTTATTTGTCAGTGCTATAAAGCAGATTGCTGCACAGTGGTTTCAATTATCTTCAAAGAGTTCTTCACAGGCAGTAATAGTTATATCAAAACCTGAAATTTATTATTCAGGTTCTATGCTGCAGTCTTCACAGTGATTATGTTCCTTTCAACAGAATGCTTTTTATGCTGACTTTTCACATTCTTTTTCATCTTTTTTTTATTATTTTCCCTAGAATGTCCACCAGGATAATACGGCTTGTTAATGATAAAAAAAGGTCTGAACAGGTTGGTGGCGGCCCCAAGCGGCTCGGTCAGGCTGTGGAGCTGGAAGAAATGATTGAGCATTTGCAAGAGAGAGTTCGTGAGCTTGAGAAACAAAACGAGAACCTCCGCAGCAAACTCATTTCAACTAAACAGCAGCTCCAGATTCAAGGCCATAGGCCTTGTCTATACAGCAATGTTCAATCTCGTATTAACACTGGTCTCAAAAAAGGGAGTGAGGCTGCTGGGATGCCAGAGCATGCAAAGAAAGGTATAATTCACGTTTATGAAAAACAGTTGTTTATCTAGGTACCACTAATCATTGCTTCAGTGTAGCAAGTACATACTCTTTTCTGTTTGTCAGTGAGCAATAGTACCTGTAGGCAGAAAGATTGTTCTCCCCCTTTATCTTATATTTATTTATAGCAGTCATGGTAACTTGTTTGCCTTTGAAGTCCTGATTTTGAGAATCCACAGTGGTAGCAGTAAAACAAAACTACAGATTTGAAAATAAAGTAGCTATCGAGCAAGTTTTCTAATAGTTAAAATCATGGGAATTTCTTAGTGTAAGTTATCTACATGTTAAAGGCTTATAAAAGAAGTATATGAAAAAGTTGAGCATTATCATGTTATAACAAAGTTTTACATCTGTATTTTGTTTGCACATTTTTTCCTTTTTTAATTTCAAAGTTTGTTCTAGTCTCTTGATACATGTGTGCACAGCACTGCAGACTTGAAAAATCTATTACATGTGTGGACTTTGAAAGCAAATACCACGATGCAGCCATCTTTAATGATGCTTTTTACTGTCAAGACATACTGCTTAAGGCAGTCTCACTCTCAGTCCTTTGTTTATGGTAGCTACAGTTGGAAATTACACTTTAAAACCTTTCTATTTTCATTTAAACATTTGTAGAGGTAGTTGTACTCACTTAACTTACACTCTGTACAGATAGTGTATTTTAAGAAAAAAAAAAGACAGCTATGGCCCTGGTTCAAAACTGAGTCAGGAGAATTGTCTCCTTAGCTTCTACAAGCTATGAATCAGGCTGATGGCCAGTTATATTGTGTGTATTCTCCATCTCACCCTCCCACTGGTCTTTACTTTGGTTACGTTGATTAGTCAGGTATATGAAACCAGAAACAATTCTCATGTTTTTAGACAGGCAATAAAAAGCAATTGGCTCCACAGATTGCATTCTTTAATTTGAATATAGTGCAAGCTTTGACATTTTAAATACACCGACATGTTCACACTTTATATCATGAAGCAGACAGTTTCATTCCCAAAATCAATTTTTTGTTTGTTTCTTTTAACAGTGAAAAAATAGGGAGGAATATAATATATTTATTCGGGCCCAGTGATAGCAGAGAGAAAAGGGCAACTTGGTTCAAGGATTAAAGATCAGATGTTGATATGTCATGCTGTGAGGACTTCTCTTGGCATAAGAACAGATACAGATCAAAGATGTCCAGTGCAGAACTAGGATTGGAGCCATATTACTTAAGGCAGTGGTTCTTAAACCAAAGAGAACGTGAGGAAGAGAAAAAAAAAGGGAGTTATCCACAGAACATCCAATTCAGATAATAAAGTTCAAAAATTTCACAGAAGTTCTAGTGTGCTTATCTCAGTTCTAAGACCTTGTTCAAACTAAGGATTCCGATAATTTGCGTGCTATGAATATATAGTTTCTCGAACATGTTTTTCTAAGGTGAAGTCTGTTATTAAAAATCTAGTAACCAATACTCAGAACTTGAACACAGTAGCGTTATCTTCCAGGAGGTCAGAGAATATTTTCTATAGTATTCATTAGCATAGGATGTTTCGTGTTTTTTCTCTCTCATGTTTTCTCATCCTGTCCTTTTGATTAATGATAATAAACTCGAGTGTGTGCCTTTTATCTTTGAAGACTGCTGGACTCATAGATTGCTCTGTGAAACTATGAGGCTGTATCTCAAAACATTTTTAGGGCAGATCAGAAAATATTCAGAGCAATTATCAAAAAATAAAATGCCTGGAAAAATTCAGGAGAACTTAGCTGTTTCCAGGGTATGAAGAGGCAAGAAGAATCCACAAATAATAAATACACCTTACTGTGTCTGCTTTGTGTTTGGCTGACTTACTGTAGCAAGTTAATCCAAAAGACATGGTCGGGTATGAATGTTAACTAAACACTCACTAGTTTCGCTCATTACTTTCTTTATTGAGTACAACCATCTTAAGATGTATCATGATTTGAACAAAAATAAATAAAAGGTGTATACTCTAGTCATATATGTATGCATATGTATATAGCACAATTACCCATACTTTAAAATAATACTTTAAGGTCAAAATTCAAAATATATAAAAAAAATCATGTTAACTCAGCACAAACGCAAAGTAGGTAAATTTTTTCAGTCACTTTGTGAACCTGCTGGTATTGTTCTACCTTGAAACTAAATGACTCAATTTTTGGGACTGAGGGATGGCAGCCTTCGTGCTATATTTGAAATTTACTGCATAGTTTGGTCCCACCTCAAAACTTCATTAACTACTTCTTCTGAAGAAAGAGAAGTAAGAGAAAGAGATTTGGAGATACCATTGCTTTTGCTTCTGAACTAACAATTCTTCCTTAAGTAACTTCTCACTCTTCTTCTTCACCAGGGACTTAATATGCTGCTAAAGAACGTAAGGAAATTATTTGCACTGCTGCTAAAAATGGTTCTGTAGTTGCTTGTCTAGGTGAATGACACACATGATTTTGTAAAGAAAGTGCTGTTGGAAAAAATGGGATTACAAGTCCATGTTCCTGTTTAATAATATTGATACTGTTTTTCTTTGAAGACACCATCTCTGTTCTCTAAGTAAAATCTTCTAAGAAAAATGTTCCAAGACACGTTTTTAACACTTCTCTTGAACATTGCATGCTGTTTTGCCCATAGTTCAGATTTTGTAGATACTCTGATTGTCTCTTTCCATGTGAATTTGATGTAAAAATATTTTTTATGGCATTTATATAGTGTTTGTGCAGTATAGAGATTGTTGTATTGTTAAATGCTTTTTCATTCAGTGTGACAAAGATTTATCTTTTCTTTGTTTTCAGGAATGAGATTTCAGGATTTAGAAGTGAGATCACCTAGCCTGGTGCCCCCAATATATGAACAGAGTCTGCTTGAGGATCCAAGGGCTGAAATAAGAAATTTGTATGATTCTCATATTTCTTAGTTTTTGTGATTATAATTGTTAAAAGTTGTGGTTTTCTTGAAGGAAAAAACAATACATTTTTCACAAGTTTTCACTTCAGAAAATAATGTCAACTTGTTGAGTCTGACAACAGTAACACTGGTAACAATACAGAAGTGTTTTAGGATAAGGAAAACATAGGATCAGGGGGTTAGAATGCAAAATGTAGGTACGTAAGGATTTGGCTGGAAGTTAAAATTGATCTCCAATGGTGAGCCTTTCTTTTTGCTAGGATGCAATGCTGCCTGGCTTACTACTGGACAAAACTGACAAAAGCAGAAAGAACCTTAGCTGCAAAATTATTACCTACATAACTTCTAAAATGTGTGGGATAACCCATGCAAGTGGTTACTGTATTGACTGTGTTATGCTGATACATTTAAGCTTAATTTCTAGGGGTGTTCAGATTTTATGGGTAATTTGCAAAAAGTACAGCACAGGATAGTAATGCAAAATGATTTTGATTCACTTCTGCATTTTGAAAGCTGGTTTGTAGTCCAGTTGCCCATTTTAGCTGAAATTGAAGCTCAGGAAACTCTTGATAACATCCTTAACGTAGAGACTGCATGAGAACAGAGAGGTGTTGTATAAGGTGGAAAAAAGGTAGTTAATATTTAAAGATATTGGGGTCTGATTAGGACATTTTTCTTCTTCAAAGAAGGCTCATATTGGAGCCTCTTTTGCTTTCTATACATCTCATTGTCTAAAAGCTGCTTTCAGTATGTGTTTCTTTCCTTAATGATTTACCTAAGTCAGATTTACTACAATATACATAAATGCTAAATTTTCAATAAATGGACAAGCTAAGTATACAAATATATGAATTAGTGTGCAATTATGTATTTTGTGCTTGAAGTTTTGGAAATGCAAAGATTTAGGGGGACCATAGGAAATAATTTTACAGAAATATTCTTATACATTCTTTTAATAAATAAAATTAAATTATTTGACAGTGTTTAAATGACACTCTTGCTAGCATTCTGTCTGAATTTAACCCTTGCTGAACAGTTACAGTTTTAAAAAAAAAAAATCACGTGCATTATAATAGAATATTGTTACTGAAAAAAAAATCTTTAGTATTTTATAGTGATGGGCCTGGAAAGGGCTATTTCTCCTATACCTGTCCCTTTTGAAGACTAGGAAAATAAGAGCTATTCATTAAGACTGCCATGAGTCTTGGGTTTCACAAAAGCTTTTCTCCTAAGACTAATCAAAAACATTGTGTTATAATGCAGGAAACATTCAAGTAGCATTTTTTTCAGAGATTTCAGTTCTCACAAAGGTAGAAAAACTAACCACAGTTGCACTGAGGTACAAAAGCAAACATGTGGCCAAAAAAATTAAAGTACTTTTAAGTCTATGATAAGTGTATGAAGTAATGAAGAACTGTAGCTTATGCATCAAAAGCTTTAGAGTGAAAAAAATTGCAGATGAGTTGTTGCTTATTCTTATTAGAAAAAATGTTCTTGGAAAAGACATCTGAGATTAGCTTGTCAAGAAAATCAAAATCACAAAGTTCTGGCCTACTGAAAATATTCAGATTCCTATCTCTCTAGTTTTCTACCTTTCTTTTTTTAATTGCATTTATTGGAGAGATTCCACTGTTAAAAACACATCATCCAAATTTTTTAGATTTGTGTGTGTGTGTGTGTGTCTAAAGTTACCTAACTTAGAATAAAAGCTTAAAAATCACTTTCACTGCTCAATCTATTGAAGATCTCATATTCTTTTAATAGCTAGTAATGGTGTTTTCCTCCTCAGAAAACACTTGGTACTAATGGATTAAGAGAAGGATCCATTTAATATAGAGTGTAATAAACCATGAATAAAGTAGCTAGGTTCTGGGAAATATTATTCAGTCAACATAAACATTTATTTTAAGAGTTTCTGTTGTGTTTAATAATGTGCTTGAATTATTTATCTATTGTACTGTTCACATCTTTTCATCTGGTGACCTCTGATTATTTTCATAGTAAGTTGAATTCTTACACCTCTGTTCTGATGCATGTCATTAAGTAGTACAGATTTTGCTGAATGCTTAAAATTTTTGCTCTCTTGAGTATTCATTTAATTTTTTTCTTTTATTAAATACTTACCTGGTTTCAGAGTGTAAGATGCTTGTACTTGCAGGGAGACTGTGATTGAGTCCCAAAGGGAGCGTATTGAGGAACTAGAACATGCCAGAGAGATACTTGAGAGTCAACTAAGAAAGAAAGAAAAGGAAATTGAAGAATCCATCCTACGGCTGAAAGAACAAGAAACAACAAGCCAAAGGTATTGTGAAAAATGTAAATCTTCATGGTGGAAGCTTCAGAAGAGCTATGTCATAATATTTATATATAGCTGTGAAAATTACTTGTTCTCTTAAGAAATATGTGCTTTATTAATTTTTTGCCTTTGGTGAAAGGGAAAAAAGTCATAAAATGTTTTACCAAATAGCCATGGATAATTTTAAGCAAGGTGATGGTTATGATAACAGGTTATGATGTTTTTTTCGCAAATAAACAAAGGTCATGATTCTCATTTAGAGAATTCACTTCCAGCTGATTCAGATTCAACGGAAGTTCAACTCATTAAATTTTAATCATCTATTGTTTCTGCAATATAATTCTTAGAAAATTAGATATAGCTTCATAGTGGGTAATTTAATGTTCATTAATACTCATTGATAATTTGGAGTCTACAAATAGTAGAAAAATAATGGCCCTGTATGGGTAGATTAGCAAAGTTTTGAAGGAATATGGTATAGCTGTGCAGTGAAACAAAGACAGACAAACATACTTGCAGAATGTGTTTCACAATAAAGCCTCTGTCAGTTTAATCTCTTCTTTCACTTTTGCAAAAATATACGCAAAATTATATAACTTTGCCTATATTTTCCCTCTTTCGACTGTTTCAATTTTGGCCTGTTACTTATAATTGTATTACACATCTAATATGACATGGACCTGCATTCCTTACTCATTTGATTTCAGTGAAAGTTCTACTTGGATGAGAAATACACGGTCAGTTCTTTAACTGCCTTTTAAGGGAGGGACCCCATTATTATGTGTGAGCATTCTTTTGTGCATCAATGATGCTACATAAATAATACATCATAATGTTTGCTATTAAATTATTCACAAAGTCATAAATCTCCCTTATTCAGAATTTCCTTTATATAGTTTAAATAGGTTAAAGAAGTTGTTATCATAAATAATTTCTCAATCTGTGCCTACAGTGAATTCAGAAAATACTTAAAATATTTTTTCATCATTTGAAAATAAACTGATAAAAATCTAAGAACTTCTGTGCTTCATTATTCTACAGATAAACACTGTTCTTTAAGTACAGCAGGCAGAAACTGAACATAACATCTAAATTCGATGTCAGCTGCCATATTTCTGTGAGATTTTTAAGGAGTTTTAAAGTAAAGATACACTTCAAATTCAGATTAAAAAAATCCTTAAGTAAAGTCAGGTTATAAAAAGTAGTGCAGATCCTTATTTATTTATGTTTATCAAATTACTTGTATACAATCCATAATACTTGACCTAAGTTACTATCTGTGAATTCATGTTTCAAGTTCTGGAAGTATTTCCTTTATAGTATTATTTCTTGTTTGAAACCTGATAAAAGGTAGGTTAAGCATTTAAGAGTTACTGTGTTCGACTGAAGACACTGGGAAAGAAACTGAAAAAAATATCTGCTAGTGCGTATCTAGAATAGTGTGTGTTCTATAATTTTGCCACTGGAATTCTTTATGGAAGTCTGTTAATCTCCATGTTTTTCAGGTTCGTTTTTTTTTGTTTATGTTGCATGAATTGGAGCCAGAACTTAGAAGGTTGCAATTCTCTCTAAGTTTGCTGTAACCATAGATACCTACACATAATTATCTTTAGGAGATTTTCATTAGTTTTCTTTCTTGGAGGTCTTGCAACTGCTATCTAGAACAGTCTGTATTAGTTGTTTTATTATGCAAACAGATTTATAGGTTCTATGTAATTCTTTCTTTTAGTCTTTGCATCAGCAGAGAAGAAACTGTCAATACTGGAATATCACAGGAAAAATTGGAAATTTGGGTGACTGATAAGGTCATCTTATTTCTTCTGTGTAGCTTATGTCTTTGAATTTTGGTACAATTGGCAGCTTTTTTCTTCTTTTTAAGAATACTCTTGGCTGTCATCTGGTTACTTTACTACCCAAAGACAATCTGTTGAAATTCTTTAGGAACTGTGTGGTGCCAAAAGGACATAACAAATGTGCTTCAACCCATCTTCATGTTGTAGTACCATTTGATCTCAGGCTGATGTTAACAAACAAAATTTGGTTACTTTCAACCTTTAGGAAAACATTTTTCTGCTGCATGATTAAGATATTCTTGTGATTGAAATAACTGTAGTTTCCAAGAGGTGAAGCAGTCACAGTTCATTTAATAATCATTGATCCATCAGTGCTAGAGGAGGGAGATAGTGGTTATCTTGAGCCCTATACCCACAAGAAATCCAGAAATACTTTAAAGCTGCCTTTGCAGTTTCACTACAGTTCAACACAAGAGCTACATAACAGTGCTGAGTTCTTGAGCAGTGTACTCCTTCAGATGATTATTGTAACATGGCTGCAATCAATGTTTTTTTTCAATATGTCATAGGAGATTGTTTCAGGATTGTTTCAGGAGTATACAATTCTAACTTAATTCTGACTTAAAGGAGAAGCTTGGCCTGTGGGTTGTTAGACTAAACACATTTTCTTAAATACAAAATATAACTGCATGTAGCTTGAGTGGTTTGAATTTAAAGAAGGCCAATACTATAATAACCTCATGGTTTGATGTCTACGATCCACAGTGTAAGAGTTAAAACATTAAGTCTAAACAATCACATTTTGCAAACAGCTAGCTTCAAATAATTGCCCGTGGTACTTTCCAAAAACATTTTTAAAGCCACTCCAAAATGCATTTGTGAAACAGGTATTTGGTGTTCACACATGTTCGTGCATTTTTTTGTGTTTTGTTTGGTGTGGTTTTTTTAATGAAAAAATTCATTTGCCCATCATTTTTCAATTCCTTTGACGTTTTTTGCTGCAAAATGACTTTGGAATTAAACCTATTAAATGTGTGGATTTTTGGGCAGGAGTATCATATCTAATGCACTCATGACTTCTATGTTTGCATTGTAGCTTTGCAGACCTGGATTAAAATGTGGAGCATGTTAGTCACAATGCACTATCTAAAGGGTTTTGAGAGACTACAGCATGTATATGAATTTGCTAAATCATGTCTAATATTAAAAATAAACAAAACTATATTTGTATTTCCATATCTGGTTTTTCATATTTAACCAGTTTCCCTAAAAGTCATTACTTTTTTTTCATTTGTAGATAGCTCTTTAGCCAGGCAAACAAATATAGATTTTTATATTCACATTTAAATAATCTTAATAATTTAGATGCTAGGCCTCCTGATGCAATGCTACTGCTTTACCCATTGCAAATATGCTATGAATTACAACATAAAGGTGCTATTAGTAGGTAAACATTGTTGGGGTTTTTTCCCCTTTATATTTTACTTCCTATAAGAAATAAGAGGTCAAGGAAAGAACATAATGTATATCAACATATAATCCTGTTAGTTCCTAAGCGTCACAAAATGAGAAGAGTACTGCACACTGATGATTCTTTGCTTCTTTGCTTGGGAGTCTATGTATGTATCTCGGACATTGATGCATTTGTAATTGAGAGCTATTAGTCTAGCAACCTTTTATGTATTTTGCCAGACGGAGCACAAGTGATCCTGAGAAGTATGGTGGTGATACTTTTTAACTTGCTTGTTTTGAAAGTGAATGGGGAAAGTTTGTGAGCCACTGGTCCTGTTGATACGATAGTCAGGACTCTCTAAGAGTAGTCTCAGTGTTGTATCCATGTCCTGCTCATATGGAAGCAAAGACAAGATGCAGGGGATGTGGTTTAATTAGACTTCAATTTTATTAGCTTAGCCATCTGGGATTTACTGGCATAAATTTGTACAGTGCAGGTCAAGATCCTTTCTTTAATCATTTCCTTCTGGCGTAGGTTGCTATCAGTCCCCATTCCCACACAGCTGGTCCCCAGCCTGTTATTGGGACCCCACTCTATATGCTTTTAATCCAAATGATAAGAAGTCTGGAAGAGAGATTGTCTCTTTGGTGTATTTCAGACATTAACCCCAAATGTGATTCTTAGATTTTTAAAAAAATCACTTTCTCCCAACTTCATTTCCAATTTCAAACTTTTTAATCCAATTTTAAGGTGAGATTTAGAGTGGAAGCATAGAGTTCACATTCCTTATTTCGGCTCTTGTGGTAGAAGGCATGCTGGAGCTAAATCAGTATGCCCATTAATTCAGGTTACTGCCTCAAGAGGGGTGTTAGTTCCTTTTTCTAACTTCTGCTCCAGGTCTACCTCCATGTCTGCAGGCTCTGTGGCAGAATTTTTAGGTTTTTTGGCAATAGAGCAAATATTAAATAAACTATCTTGGTACAGCTTTATTCTTATGCATTGTTTTGTTATTCTTTGAGCAAAATATTATTTACTTAGTGAAAGGTAGCGTTGACTTTTATATCAAATCTATATAACCCCCCTGTTTTTAAATTATATCAGACTACCTGGGCAGTTGTTCTGGGAGCAGAATACATCAACTACCTGGGAGGGAGAAAGCTGTGTAGATAATCAATTTCTATTCTATTCTACTGTTTTGTGAGAAGTTTTACAGAAAAATGAATCTCCTCAACAGAATCTTCCTCACTTAACTTTGCCTTGCCCACAAAATCTGAAAGGATTTTATTCTTCAACAGCAAACTCCTTGTCATGTACCTAGATGCACTGGACATTCCTTAGACATATTTTATTTAAATGAATAAATAAAATATTGTAGAGGTGTTGTAGAGAACTAATTTTGCTGCTCTAGTCTGAGAGCTGAGATTGTGCTCTACATAGTGCAGTAATAAGAAATTAATTGCACATGCTTTCTGTAGCTGGAAACTTCATGAGATAAATACTCTTGTAATTGTAAGAATTTAAATGATCCCAATAGAAAGTAATTTCTTAGTTCTGATATTGAATAATTTACTTCATAATATCAGTACCCTAAACCTGTTTAAATCAAATGCTGTTTCATTCACTGTTGAAAAAATAGTTAATGTCGATTGTCAGGAGCCATGGGGTTTACATCTGTACATCATAAATTTCACTATCATCTGCTCCTTTTTCTACTTAAAAAGAAAAAAAAAAAAGCGCCCCCTGCTTAAAAAAGAAGGGAGAAAAAAAAAAAAAAAAAAAGAAAAAGCCTTTGAAAGCATTAGAGCCTATTGTTTGATGTGTGGAACAAGATTAAGAAAAACGTGCCACTACATTGGCTTTTAAATAGCTAGCATGAGACAGTGCTGCTGTCTATACTCACCACAACTTTAATTTATGTAGATAACATGTTTTAGACGCATGATAGTTTTAGCATTGCATTAGGGCTGTTTCTTGGGTAAGATCTCAGGTTTGTGAGTATGTTTATCTTCTGTGTAAAGACAATTAACTGGGCAATGCCAAAACACAACAGGATTTGATATTTTACAGAATAAAAGGAAAGTATTTCATGTACTCAGCTGGTTTACAGATGTGTAAGCTTTGTAGTTCGTTTTCTTGCTTCAGTATGGTGTTGTGACAATTCATCCAATATGTCTAAAACAGATAAATATTGGAAGAGAAATTTGAAATGCTAAAGATTTATTCTGATTTTATATTTTATGTCAACACAAATCAGAAGAAGCTGTGACAATAATGGGATTTTGTTTCACTGTTTGAAGTAAGGGAAAACATCTAAATAAATATTTATTTAGATTTTGAATTATTGTAAACGTATTTTCTATTAAACAATACGTTCTCTAATTAATCTTAGAATTGTAACAATATAGAGCATCTACATGGATATTCAGTGGGTTTTATGTAGTTAAGACACACTTGCAGCTTCTTTGAATGCCAGCCTTAAGGTGTTACAGTATGAATTGCTGCATCACTTTTTCTTAGCAGGATTTGATAGGTATAAGCTCTAAGAGAAAACTCCATAAAATGGCAATGTACTGGCACCAAATACTTTGGAGGGTGGAAAAGAAGTGAGTTGAAAACAAATAATCTCTTTAGGTATAGAATTGTTTTCTCTTCCTGTCGTGTACGTTTTGATACAATAAACGAAGATGTATATGTATTGATTGAAGCTACCATGTCATTGCGTGGTAGAATGTTTATTTACCTGAATTCTGTAATATGGACTATAGAAGAAGAAATTAATTTAGCTATCGCACACTAGGTCTTCTCCCAAATGTGTTGTAGAAAGCAGATTTGCAAAGGATTTCAACCTTTCAAAACAAAAATAGTAAGATAGTTCATTTTGTATCTTTACCCTCATGATGCATTTCTTTTTATTATGATTTTGAAGGCTAAACATTCGGGACAATGTCGAAATGATCAAGGTCCGTAAGCAGCTGGTTGAGAAAAGCAATGCTCTTTCAGCAGTGGAAGGAAAATTTCTCCAGCTTCAAGAGGTAATTGTGATTTGGTCAGAAGTAGTCCTTTACTCTCATCACATAAGCATGCATAAATTAAAAATAAGTATACGTAATTCTTGATTCTGAGTCAATGCTGAGTGCATGAAAATGAACCACACAATACATTGCAGCCAGGCTACTCCAGATGTGTAGGGTTTTTTAGGCTTAATTTTTTTTTTTTTTTTCAGAAGGGTCTAGCACGTCTTAAAGGTTTTATCTGCAAAGCCATCCCAGGCAGATTGTGGAGAGTGAACTAAGTTGTCTGTCTATTGAGAGAGATTCCTGATCATTTAAAGAGAGGGCTTTGACTTAAATGTACTGAGTTACCGAAGACCTCCCTCACTTTATCAGTCTTTGAGTAAGTTGGGGAGGTTTGATTGTTTAGAGTTCTGATGTTAGGACTTAGCATGTGTTTATCAGTTCATGGAAATTATTTTAGAGGGCTACTCTAAGTAGTAGAATTTCTTTACAAAGAGAGCAGTTTTATGAAAATATTACCAGAACATGCAACTGCATGGTAGATTCCTTATAGGTTTTAGTTATACAGCATTTTTCTGCTACTTCCCATGTGTACTTGGAGATCCACATGTGCATAAAGACAGAGGTAGTAGGATAATAACTTAGGAATGTAAGTAGGAGTTCTGCATGCAATAGAGCTTTATAAAGTATCCTAGCCTTATGAGGTGGAAGCACTAGAGATCGTTGTAAGCTCTTCCTGCTGCCTGCTTCTTATTATGTTAGCATGCTAAATAACACTTGTGCCACTAGGTTTTTGTTCTGTTCCTTTTTTCCTGTGTTTTTCTGCTTCTGCATTTTGTTTTACTTTGCTTCCCTCCCCTGCTTCAGTGTAATACCTATATCTTCTCTGCCAAAGCAGCACTTCTGTTAGTAGCTCAAATCTAATTTTTCACAGGGTGAGCTATGTACAGTGTAAATTCCAGGGGAGACGAGTTGCACATGGCTTTTTCTTAAACAGAAAGCGATAAGTGAACTGTGCCATTTTAAATCATATGCAACTTTTTGGTAATTTACAGCAAACATCAAGTACTTATGCCTCTGTCTTGGCAGCAGCTGAATGGAAACACATGCCTAGGATTCAAACTAGTATTTGAGGATATTGTTTCTAATATTCTCAGTGAAAGCTGCATGTTTGAAAAGAATGAGTGTGTTTTCTTCCTCATTTTTTTGCAAGATAAAGGATACAATGGTTTCCCATTTCCAATCATTTGAATGTTTGAAACATGTCGACTAAATGTGAATAACTGTAAAATCCAAGATTTCTACTTTAGGTGGCATGTAAAGTACTTATCAACAGAGCAGTTTTAAGTATTTTTTTAGTGTTTATCTTGGTGGGTTTTATGCCTATTGAGTTAATTATAATTTACTTTCAGCTTCTATCAGTTGAAACCTATATAATTCCTCCATGTTCATCTTTGAATTTAAATCAGCCCAAAATGGGAAAACACGGAATGATAAGAGCCTATAATCCTGCTCCATCTAATGTTACTGAAGTTGAGCTTACTACCAAACATTTACATGACAGTTTTGTTGATAAAGAATTTTAATGTAGCTGGTTGAATGAAGGAGTTGTGCAATCAGCAGATTTTAGAACAAAGAAGAACAAAGGACCCCTGAAACTGTATATTTGATTCCACTGGTATATTTGTTTGCTTTAATTACAGACTGAACATTCAGGATTTCATGATTTGTAATATGAAATATATTAACCTGTGCAACTACAATTTAAAATAATATAGAGGATCATCTTGAACAGTCAGTATAACAATTTCACAACTGTAGTTGAGAGCAGTTTGTGCAATATTTCTAGGAGATATATATCCATTTCCTTTAACTGAGTTATTTCTAATCAACAATGTTATCAAGGCATATTTCCCAAAGAAAAAAAAATCCAGACTAGAAATTTTAAACTAAAATCATCGTCCAATTGTTGTCATGACCCGAGTCTCAGGATACTCCAGGGAGAGCAGGATAGAAAAAAGTCTGGGCATAATGGGAAAAAAAGTGCTGACAGAACACTCAGATAAAGAAGAATATCCAGGTAAAGAATGCATTTTGGGGAAAAAAGAAAATAATGAGGATGAATTCATGGTCTCCATAAGGTTAATGAGGAAAGTTAATCCAAAATGGTCAGGAGAGCAGCAGAGACACTGAAGATTAGAGTGAAGTTGAAGCAAGGAGATTTTTCAGGAGGATGTTTTTGTTGCATTTGATGAGATGGTTCAGTAGAATAAATATGATTGTAGAATTTGTTTTCAGCTGTTTTGGAAATTAAGGACAGAGATGAGGGTGAAATGGACTATGAAAGGCAGCTTTTCCAAGGTGCTGTTTCGATTTTTTTTTTTTTTTTTTTCTTCGTATATTGAGGGTTGAAGTGACGCAAGTTATTGAAAGGAAAAGAAGTTCAGGAAAAAGTTGAAGCTGGGAGATGGGGAAGAAAAGATGAGTTCACTTGGACAGTTGGAAGGGTTAGGGACAGTAGGGCTAATGATTTGGAGGAGAAAGGAAAGAAATTTGGAGAGAAATTAAAGGAGTATGAAAGAATGATTTTTAAGGTATCATTTTTTGAAGTTACTGCAATACAGTTCACGGATATAGGGCAAAGCAAGAGGAGCACTGGGAAAAAGACTGTTAAAAATTGATGAGTAATATACTTCATTACCTCTCTGACTGACTGCTGATATTATTTGTTCTCCATGATACTTTTGTTGCTGAGAAATGAGATATGGAAGGTTGAAGATCAGGTTGGTGATTAGTTTTTCTGTGGGTTTTTCATTTGTTTCTAGGATATTCAGACTGCATGTGAACCTAAACAATTTGTAAAGGATCCACATTCAGCTTCTTCATTTAACTACTTTGTAGTAATATTATATGGAAAAAATGAAGCTAACTTTTTTTCTGTCTACAATCATTAAACATTATCTATACTTATACATGTATTTGACATAAATTTCCATACAACCATTTTATTAAACAGGAGATTGGCTTTTGGGCTGTTCTGTTTCAAGTCATGCTTTGTGATTTCTACTGAAATTCGTAACGAATGAGGCTTTATTAAAGCATTTTGGAATGTAGGCAGTACAATATTAACTAATATTCCGGAAACAGAGGTTCTATCAACATTCTCCGTTTAATATTAAAATTGGTTAAATGTGCCTTAATATAATCCATTGAGGTAAATTAAAATCTAAAAGTAATCATAAGTCCCTTGTTAAATTACTGCTAGCAGGGAAATAGAACAGAGTGCCTTAGGATTATGAAACAATTATATATCTACAATTAAGGGTTAACAGGGCTTTGCCAAGCTCTGTGATTAACATAACTGTGGTCAACATTCATTTTTGCTTGCTACTGCAGTGTTTTTGGTCAGCATGTCTAACCACTGTAACCACAGCAAAATCTTTTAATTGCTTAACAGATGTATTTCTTGGTTGTTTTCATCATGATTGAACTGAGAGTTTAATGTTCATGAGAGCAACAAGAATGCCACCTTCTCCTGGCCATGCATAGTGGAAGTTGCTTTCAGTTTCTTAGTTCAAGAGTGTCTCCTGTTGACCACATTGAGAATGTATCTTATATACTGCCGTGACAGACAACTGCTTGAATATGCAGTGTTGTAACATTCTGCTAAGTGTGATTCTTTTTTTTTCTGTTTTTTTCTTCGTTCTTTTTCATAGGACCAAAAGAACTTGAAGACCAACCATGATGCTTTAATAGCAAAAGGTGATGAACTGAATCTACAGCTTAAAGAGGAGCGGTTAAAGTGCCTCCATCTTGAAAAAGAATTGCAATCAGTAACTATTTCAAACCGAAGGACGGAGGAGGTGAGATTTTTTTCAAGAGAGCTAGAATCTGCTGTAAGTAGTACACATAGATAAGTTAATGATGGGACACCTTTTAATTGCTGAGATGTGAGTAGACTTTTCAAACATATTTAGAAGACTGAACTGCTAATATATTATATACTTTTATCCCATTAAAAAGAAAAACCTATGACTGCTGCTTGCATTTCATAGAATAATGAACCATACCTGGGGCCTCGGCCACATAATCACTACACCAGTGTTTGGACAATACTTGAGATTAAAGCACAAGGTTTCATGTCAATTCTGATGCTAAACAAGTGGTTTGTTAATCAGAAAAAATTTCTAATACTTGATTTATCAATCATATATTGCTAGTTTTTTAGTATTATTTCAATGTGATTTAATTATAGTACAGTGTAGTATTCTATCTTAGTCAGCAGTTCAAATCAGTCACTTCTATTTCTTTGTCCAGTGGCTTTCACACGAGTGTCATCACTAACAGTCACCCAGATATAGGGCAAAAACTCAAGTGTTTTATTCCTCAGTCTCTTCAACACATGAAGAGAAAGAGTACACAAACTTACTTGTTTTTTCTTAACACTTTGTAGCAACTTAGGTTTAGTTTTACCACCTGGTTTAACTGTTTTGAATGTATTTTACATGAACCAAGTTTACCAAGGTTATGTCATAAATATTTCCTCCAAACCTTTAAACTACTGTAATGCACGTAGGATATATCTTCTGGGTTAAAGCACCTCATATTTTTAAACATGTTCTGCTTTGGTGAGAATTTTAGAGAGCAAGGACTTGTTGTTTGTATAAGATCAATAAAAAAAGTATTTACTATATCATTAACTAGCTAATACTAATACTCACCAAAATGGAAATAAAAGTTTTTAATGCCATAGATTGTTGGTTTGGTTTTGGAAGGGGGGAGTGGGGTGGGTGGGTGTTGGTTTCGGGGGTGTTTTTTTGCACAAGGCAGAATCAGATACTGTTGTTCAACTGCGACATGTTAGTCTCAGCTTCATATAAACACCATGAGACAGACTGGGCCAAATGTGAATCCATGCAGTGAAAAAAAGTGTTATTTTAAAGCTTCTAAGAGACTGTTGTATAAAAAGAATGATTAAGTGCCTGACAATGTCTACAAATTATTAACTAATTGTCTTTGCACATTCATTGTCCTTTCCTTTTTGTGCTGTGCATTGCTTGGAACATTTTTCTTCATTTTAGTTACAGGAAAGAATAAACGATCTAGAAGAAGAGAAGGAACTCTTGAGGGAAAACTATGATAAGCTGTACAACAGGTAAGTTATGGTTTCTGTATATAAAAAAAACCCTCAATTCCTATCCTGGTCGATAGGTCTTAATATTCTGTGTGCTTGAATGTGCATATGCATATTGTGTGTTTGTGCACACATGTAAATATATTCATGCTACAGTTCATCATATCAGCAAGTGTATATGGTAAATTTTATGGTGTTTTGTCTTTTTTCATCTCTTCTGTTGAAATGGAGCTGCTTCCATTTCTAATAGTCTCAAAAGAGTAGATTACTTCTTTTAAAAAATCTAATTAAAAAATAAGTAGAAGCCACTTTATTTTGAACATCATTGCAAGAAGCTCTTATTTGAATTTCTAATAAGAATAATAAGAATACATATAGGTAGACATATATTCCTTTGGGTTTATTTTATTTGGGGAAAAGAGGTGTTTGAACTTTTTGCATAAGTTCTTCCAGCACTTCTCAGTGGACCTATATAAAGTCTGATATTTGACAGCTTCTCCAGTGGCGCCTTTTTTTTTTTTTTTTTTTTTTCTTTTTCATAAAAATTGTCTCAGCAGTGCTTAAATGAAAATATGTTGCCAGATATGATTCAGAAATTCTCTGGTACAGAAAAGAAGTAATTATAGTCAAATGCCACAAACATATTAAAGGAAAAAAATGACCTTCAAATGAACTTTTCCGTTATTGTGAAACCATGTGGTCTTTACACTGAAGAGCATTAGAAAATAAGACAAATGTTCTATAGCTAATAGTTGCGCCTGTAAATAAGTAAAATGCTTGAAGTCTCTTCTCATATTAAAATTGTTTCTCCTCTTAGTTTGGTTTGTCAGTGTGATGTCTGTCAAAAAAAAATACTAACGACTAAACACAATGTGAGTGATATCAAATGTTTATAGTATTCTTGCAATATTTATTATATCTTTTGTACTTTCTATGGTGAAATTAAAAATTATAGTAGTGAAAAACTGAGTACAAGTAACTTAAAACATTTTTTTACATGTGAGATGTAACAGTTTTATAATCACAACTTTTTTGTATAGGGGCAGTTGGTCAGTTGTCTCTCAGTTAAGTTCGTTGTTGTAGATTCCACCAAAGTCTGATCATGTTTTAAATATTTCTGATGCACAGAAATAACTCGTACTAACACTTCATCTTACAATCTTGGATTGAAATTTTCTGTTCTATTTAAGTGATAATGGGATAACTTAAAAAGATGTTTAACTAGGTAGATTTATTGTTCAAGGCCTAGTTGGATGGGGCTTTGAGCAACCTGGTCATGTCCCTGCTCATGACAGGGGGCTTGGAACTAGATATTCTTTAAGGTCCCTTCCAACTCAAACCATTCTGTGATTCTGTGATTAACTGGATAAATTTAAAAATGGTTCTCTCATAACACAGTAATCTCCAATATGGCTTTTCTTTTACCTAAAAGATCTGTCTTTTCATATACTCCTGTTGAAACTTGGATTCATTTTTTTGTCATTCCGTGTTACTATATAGATAACAAGAAATTAGAGAGAAATGGATCTTTTCATTATAACTGCTATGCCGTGGCCAGCTTTTTCTGTTGCCCATTTGAACAGTGATACTTTACTACAGCTTACCTGTTGCTAGCAGTGGCTAGGCCAGTGTCCACAGGTGCCAGATAATTAATAAATATTTCTTTCTTTTTTTTGATGGAGGAAAAGAGGCATAAACCCATGCTTTGCTAATGTTATTTTTTTGGAAATGCATTTAAAGTTGATGGGAATTTTGCCAAAGCCAAGACTGCAGAACTGGATCTGAAAAGTTTACAAAGAATAAGTATGAATCTATCAGTTGACTCTTTATTATTTAGTCAGTATCCAAGAAAACAATTTATTTGGATAAAAGATTTGGAGGAATTGTTTTCATATGACCTTGTAATGCAAATCTAGCAATGCTTAAATTCCCTCCAAAGGAAGTGGTGCCAGATGTGGTTGACCATTTATAGTTACCCAGATGGCTTCTACTCCAGTGAAATACAGTAAATGGGAAAGAAATTCCACATGAATTCAAGTAAAAGTAATCTTAAAATTCAAAGAAAGAAAGCAACAGAAGTGGACTCAATTCAAACGGACATAAACATTAGCATTATATGAGCTGGGATAAAACCTGTCTTCTAAAACATTCTTCATTCATGAGTTACTATCATAGTAACAGTTAATGATTTTTCTGCCAGCTTAGTCTTTTGAAAAACTGAAATAAATGTGTAGCTACAGCTTTATGTGAAGTAGTTGTACCTAAAGATAATGAATGTACATGTAACTGGGTAACATGGTCACTAAAACTCGAAAACATTTTCAGAAGTGTGAGTACTAAGAATATTTGATATCTTTTCTTGCTAAGATTTATTCTTTCCTTACGGGAGCCAATCAAAGAGTGGTAAGTTTAGGCAGTCATAGAACAGACTGTGTCTCTGTACCTATGCAGTATTATGGAAATGATTGTGGGTTCAGTGCATTGTATTTGCTGCATGTTGTTTTCAAAATTACAGCAGAGTGACGTGTGTATTACTGTAGGACTTAGAAGTGTTGCTTAAGTTCACACGCGCTGTAAAAGACACTTCATCATACCATAAAACGGTGTATGCCTAGAGAACTGTATAAAGAGGTGAGATAGATGTGGGATGAGAAAACGACAACATACAGAGAGAGAGAATGGTTTTATGAAGATCACAAATCAAGAATATAAACTGTTGCCTTATACTTTAGAGCCTACAATTCGTGCTATAATTTTTTTTCTTTGTTCTTAAGGTCATTCTTTACATATATTAGCTATAAATGCACTTATATGTACTCAGAACCACTTTATGCAGTCATAGCCATCAGAACAGGCAGTTCCTTTCAGTCAGCACATACAGTCTGCAAGCTATGTGAGCTGTCCCTTCTGCGATACTTCTTTCTTCTCCTCTTTTTTTTTTTTTTTTTTGATTGAGGCTTTTGTTACATAGATCTCCAGAAGAGATAGATTGATAAATAGATATGTTCAGAAGATTTCCTTTTTTATAATGCATTTATGTATGTAAAAAATACCTTTTTCTAACTGGTGACTTCACCAAAGAGATGAGGAGCTCTTGTTTAAAAAAACAAAATAAAACAAAACAACAAAAAACCCAAACAACCTACAATATCTGATTTTTCCACAGAATACGGAAGTAAATAAATTGGTTTATAATTGGTTAAGATGAAGGACATTTTTCCAATCAATAGGAATGCGAGTATTGAATAATAATAATAATAATACAAAGTCGGTAGTACTCGCTGTCTAAATTACATGAAAGCAATTTGCATTGCTTTGTATTTTTACCTATTGGGAATTATACTGTAAATTATATAATGTACTTAATTTAGTTTCAATCTGAGTTGCGCATTTTGTTGTGGTTTCAGCAGTTCCGATTCTGTTCCATGCAATCCTTATTTCACATAGATTGGTAGTTTACAAGTAAATAATGTTACAGGCAAAATAGTTATTCTAATTTCTTTGCCCACCTCTGTTTTTCATTTCTTAAAGTAGGGAAAAGATTACTTTATATGTGCTTCATAATCAGTATCAGAATTGTTGTTTTACAGTATGAGAAAAATGTTGTTGCTTTGTGGTCAACATTTCTTTGAACAGGCCACTGACTTTAGGCTCTGCATGTTTCACAGATTTAAAAGAAATCAGGTGGGTGATCCCAGTTCTCTACATTAAGAGGTTTTGTATGTGGAAAGAATGGTTTTGTCAGTTGTCAGTTGCTGAGGTTTGGAGTTGTGGATTACACTGGAATACGCCTCTGAATTCCTTTTCTAGTCCCACAAATGTTGTATGCTGCCAACTTTTCTGACTTTGGAGCTCTAAATTGAGGCCAGTTCCTTTGCTCATCCCACAAACTCTTTCATGTCTTTTAACCGCAGCCTGAGAAAGGCGCCTTGGTTTCAACAGCAGCAGCCCAGCATATGTTTACTTAATTCCTAAGACATGATGACAGTGGTCTCTGTGCCACTAAAAGCTATTTTCTTTATTATTTTTTGTTGAAGCTGATTTCTAAAAGTTTTTCACATGCCACATGTTTTATCGCAGTGTCTTCAGTATGACCCATGAACAGCAATGGAAATTAAAGGAACAGCAACTGAAACTGCAAATTGCTGAACTACAGACTGCAATGAAATCTGATTTAGCAGAGAAAAATGAAATCCTTGACAAGATCAAAGTAGAAAGAGGTATATTTCTGAAATAACTATCGTTTTCTCATGGTAAGAGATTCTCCTGTGTTGGAGTTCAGGTATATTGCCTAGAAAAGTGTAGTTTCTCTTGCTGGTGGTTTCAGAGCTGCCTTTTAAGTGTACATTTGAACAATACGCTGAAGTTATAACTAGCTATTGAATGCAAAAATTGACCCAATACAGGTTATGGGCTGAATGAGGATCATATAACTCCAGCTCCATTCATTCTTCATCTATTGGGTTAATATTTGCTCTTTATTCTGTATTTCTCCTCACCTCTACATTGAAAATTCTTATGGACAGTCCCTCTCAAATTATAAACCACTGTTTTAATTTTATTTGCTGTACAAAGTTACATGAAGCCTATTGCACTTTGTGAAGTTAGAATTTTTTTTTAATATTTTCTGTATACATGAATTTTTATTTATAGCTATGTACATTTACAATAATACAGTTTTCCTCTAATCTACTGAACAGATTATTTTATATGTTTTTTTTCCCATGTTGCAGAACAACTTCTCAGTGAATCTTTAAGACCTTGTAGTCTTTTCTTTTTTGATCTCAATACTGTGATACACTGTGGCAACACAAAGTTTACAAAACAAAAGCACAGATTATTTTTTATATTTTTAGAGTTTTTTGTGGATACTTTTTATTTACAGGGAAAGACAGTGACAATTGTCTTCTCCCCTACTAACTGGTTGGTACTGGTTGGTCTATAAGAACTCTTTCTGTGAATTTATGTAGGAGGTGAACAAATACGGAGGCTTTTCATAGAATCATAGAAGGTATTGGGTTGGAAGGAACCTCTAAAGGCCATCTAGTCCTACCCCCCTACAATAAGCGGGGAAATATCTAGCTAGGTCAGGTTGCTCAGAGCCCCATCAAGCCTGACCTTGAATGTCTCCAGGGATGGGTCTTCCACTACCTCTCTGTTCCAGTGATCCACTACCCTCATATTAAAGAACTTTTTCCTAATGTCCAACTTAAATCTACCCTTTTCTAGCTTGAAACCATTATCCCTCATCCTATGGCTACAAACCCTTGTGAATAGTTCTTCCCCTGCCTTCTTATAGGCCCCTTTCAGGCATTGGAAGGTTACTGTAAGGTAATTAAGAGTCTAATTATTTTCATATTTGTGAATACGTACAAATATTTAATGTGTAAGACACCCATGCAAGTTTACTCAAATTCTGATTTTTGAATGAGATTGCATATATTGGCACATCATGTATTTTGATTACAGATGAGAAGAGTGTTATTGCACAGTCCCTTAGGTGTCTTATAAGGCCTTTATCAACACAGAGGGCTGTCTGCAACTCTGTAGTCTGTGTCCAGTCATGGCTCTGTAGCCTTCCACTCCAGCTAGTGTGGCAGTGTTTTACAAAGCCTCCAGGGCAGTGTTATTCCCTCTTTCTTGTGCTTTTACTGTCATAGCTGTGCTACTGAAAATATTTATACTGTTGTGATGACATGTTCTTGTGGGATGTGGTCACCAATGCTGTGAGAATCACTCCTTCTCTCCCCTCTCTTCTCCTTCTGTTGCAGCTTTTGGGCTAAATTAGGGAAAGCAAGCTAAGCAGCAGCCAGCATGCTGCACCAGCCTTGATCCAATTGTGCTCCAGTTGGTGCTGATAGTATTATTAGTGGAAACAACCAGTAGGGAGTTTGAGTGGCTCCTGATGAAACTCAGTGTAGTTATATGGGAAAACTGAATGACAGGACCCTCCTGTCACTTCTGTTCCCTGAAGGCTATTGTGGAAGCATTCCATTTCCTCCTGCCTCTTCCTCTGCATGTCTTGTGTTTTTTATCTTTGGTTGGGATCATAGAAACTCAGCCCTTTGAGAACCTGGAGAGGCAATATGGATAGTGCTAAGGTAGACTGAGCTGTGCTATTGACAGATTGGCCTGTTCTGGTTCATCAAGCTGTTGAAATTTGCCTCAATCTGAACAAAAGCTGAGTTCTATGTAGCGCTTCCAGTTATGAAGTTACCTTTTTAGGCAGCAAGTGTGAATGAATATTAAAGATGCATACAAATAGCAATGAGATAGAGGTACTTGAGGAAGGTTATCTTGTCGTCTTATCCCTGGAAAAAGTGCCGGTTCAGATCTCTGTATTGTAGTGAAAAGGAACAACACCAGCATAAGGGGCCCTTTTTCTCTATGGGAGACCTCCTACAGATATAGGTCTTTCAGGTATATTATTTGGGATAGTCCAGAAGACTCAATTGCTGATAGGTGTTTCACCATCTTTTATGAAGGCCTGGCTTCTCTGCCCATTGACAAGACTTATTTTAATTGTTTTCTTATTTGCTTTCTAATTTTTATCCTTTAGTGTTTCTAATTATATTTTCTTCTCAGTTGCACAAATGCATTACATTTTCCTCATAACTGCAGAGAATGAAAAGCTTATTGGTGATTATGTGTTTGAATTGAAAGTGACTCTTGTGGAGTCCCGACACAAGTATGAGTGAGGCTACTGTGTATAGGAGCAATGGTATTATAGATGATTCATTTTTAGTGAAGATGTCGTTTGATATATAACCTCTGCAAAATTAAAACTAAGCTGATGTCAATTTTTGAAACATTTCA